TGAAGCTGTAAGCTGATGTGTCCCTGGATCAGACACTTTACTCTAACTGTGTTGTCAATTACTGGAGGCCATTTCCTGCTGCTGCTTATCTGGACTCCAGGCAAATGGGTTTTGGAGTCATGTGACCAATAAACCAGGAAGTGGTTTGAAGAAATTCTACATTACAGTTACCCAATTTTTTCTTTTTATTTCGTGGCCAATTTCAGAACATAAGCAGGACCAGAGTGTGTGTGTGTGTGTGTGTGTGTGTCGTATACATTATATATGACAGAGAGGCAGCGAAGCCAAGGAGAAATGATGTGTTCTGCCTCCATCCTGCTGCTAGCGAGCAGGGCTGCCGCCTCATTAGCAGAATTTAATGGTTTGAATTACGGCTCACGTCTCATCCGTCTCTGCAAACACTTTAATTGCGGGATTTTATTGGACGAGGAACAAATCTTATTAGATTTCTCAATAAAAGAGAACAAAGTGTAAGATGTTCCTCCTGTTTTTATCTCCACACCTGACACTGATTGATCCCCATGATTATTATTATTTTGGCAGCGGGCTCAAATTAAACGCAGGTGATAATGAAAAGCAAATGTGGGTTCTTTCTCTCGGCACTTGTTGACACTGGCAGGTACTAATGAATCCTTTTAGTTCAACGGTTACAGTTTCACTGACGGCAGCTGAAGACGAAGAAAGTTTTTTTCAAATAAAAAGCTCCGTCTGCGGAGACGCAGCAAATGTTTTTAATCAAAGATATTCTGATAAAATAACAATTTAGCTGCCCTACTTTTCAACACACACACATCACTGAAACACAACTTTCACACTCAGTGGAGCAGAAAAACAGATTTTTTTTTTCTAATGAACCCTGAACCAAAAATCATCGTGGTCAGGTTCTATCCACAGGCAGGATTTAAAAAAAAAGTTTCCTCTTCACTACCACTTCAAATGCACACGAGCAACACAACCTTATTATTACTTTGGGCTTGCCCCTTCAACAGGGGGCGCTGCAGTCATATTCCTCATACTGAAATGAAATGGTATTTGGGACAAGGTTGAATCGAACCCAGAATCTTCAGCGTGAATTCCACCGCGGCGCCACTTCAGCCCAAGAATTTTAAATTAGAGAAATGTTTGATATTAATATTTTATAAAAGTGAATTTTATCTCAGTTACTCACAGCCGTCCTCATGCCACCCAGAACACAGGTTTATTTTTACAAATTATATATTCATAGATTTATAAAATCCCCTGACCTTTTCTGCACCACAAAAACGTGAAAAGAAGGAAGCAGGAGTGACTGTTTTTTTCAAAATAAAACTCTATGCAGACCAATGAAAATAGTAAAATAAGTCCAAATAAAATGTCATCATTCTTTCTGTAAAGTCCATGGCCTGGTACTGGTCCACGAACCTGTGGTTGGATACATCTGCATTTTTTGCATTTTTCTGTGACGCTCAATCAATCGATACAACTAAAACGTTTGTGTAAACCCAGGCCTGGATGTGACATCGACCGCAGACGACACGAAGCATTTATTTAAATGTCAACTGTCACTTCAACTCCTCTCCTCCCCCTGCCTCCCCCTGCCTCTCCCCCCTCCTCCACAGGGAGCCCCAGCACCACTCCGTCCCCTACCACTACTACGAGCCTCGCGGTCCGGACGAGTGTGCCATGTACATTTCCCACGAACGAGGCCGGCGGGGCAGCCACCACCGCTTCATCACCGAGAAGCGGGTCTTTGCAAACTGGGCACGTACGTTTGACATCCACTTCTACCAGCCGGACTGGAGCCCCCCACCTCTGCCTGCCAACCAGACGCTAAAGGAAGCAGACACGGTGACACCTTTGGAAGCGGCGGCGGCGTCCCAGCAGACGTGACCAGGGATGTCAAAGGGTCGAAGGAAAGGCTTGAGATTCACATCAGGACCGGAGGACGAGGACTGGAGCCTCTAGAGTCCAGACTTAGGCATGAAGAACAGAAAATGACTTGAGACTTGAGTAGATTCTGCTGAAACATTTTTCCAGTTGCTCCAGTGGAAACTGCAGGTGAAGAAGCCGTACTCCCCCTTTAGAAAAAGAGGCTTGGATCCTCCTCGTCTTTGTGCGTACATGCTGTGTTTGTTCCTGTGTGTGTGTGTATGAATAGTGTGGATGTGTGTGTGTGTTTACCATAGAGGGAATTACACTGGCTACATGTTGAGTTTGGGCTTTACACAAAAGCCCTTTATTGGATGAAGGCTCAGAGCTGGATCCACTGCTCACATCTCTGAATAAAAACCACAACACATCACCACGCTCCCTAATCTGACAGCCTGGCCCCGGAGATCATGACTAACACAGCGCAGAGCAGCGATAACAACGCAGGTTTGAAAGCGTGAATGATTCCGGTTCAGAAATATCACAATGTTTCAGTGAATTAATATTTTCTTACACTCCTAACTCAACACCACTGTTAGAAACTCAGGCTCCAACCAACACGGAATTCACTGAAGAACCCAGAAAGTCAGCGATGAATTTGGACAAAAAACTGTTTTCTTTCCTGGACATCAGTCAACGTACATCTTCAAGCCTGTGCTTCTCCTCAACAACGAGTTCTGTCTGACAATTTAGTCTGTTCCTTCAATTCAGCCGTCAAAGGTCGGCTCTGTAACAAATCCTTCACGCTGTGAGAGTTTTTTAAAAACTCAAGCCTGTTTCTGGGTGAAGCTGATTCTATAATGGATGGTTCTAGATGTATGAACACCACTGTTAGGCACCAACCATGAGATCTGATCCTTCGACTACAGACCACAGAGAACAACACGATCCTCGGCTGAATCATCTGCTGCAGAACAGCCGGGATTCGAACCATTTACAGGACGATCCGTCGCTCATAGAAAAGCCGACTTTCTCGTCGCAATCCCTCCACTCTTGTAGCGCAGCACAGATTTAAAAAGATTTAGAATTTGACAGGATCATTTTATTGCCGCAGAATATCAGGTACGCACGTGAGGTATTTGGACAAAAACTGCAGTCTTTTCACATTTAGTTTCTTTTAATGGCATTCAAAGCAAAAAAAACACACTCTGGACTGAGCGAAGGCGACCTTTCGTCGTGATGTTGTTGTGAAACTAAGCATGCAAAGAAAACAGGTCTGCAGTTTCCATTTTATGTCTTATTAAAACATTATGTTGTTTTTTTTCCCCCAAAAACACTGGAAATGTCACTTCACTTAATAAACAAAATACTTTTATCTGGACTCCTGTGGTGAGAAGTAATTTTGTCAATAACAGACAAATTGAAAGTGTGTTCCATTTGCATCGCTTCCTGCAGAGATCAAAGTGAAACCTGAAGGTTCTCTCTCCCCTCTCTCTCCCCCCTTTCTCTCTCTCTGTCATCACTGCTCGTCACTGTGAAGTAACAATAAAAATCATCCTAAAGTAAAGCAGCCGCTGAGCTACAAGGTCTCGTCGTCACTACGTGCACCTGAACACATCTGACCTTTTCCCAGGATTTATCCAATAGTTTAAATAATAACAGAACTTCAAATGTCTAAAGTCCAAGAACTTCAGGCGTCTACAACTACATTTCTGCAAGGGCAGTTGAAGTAATTTACCAAATAAATAAATAAACTAGTCAAATCTTATAAAAGCAGTGGATCCTGTTTCTCCTCGGAGATGAGAGGCTCATCCAGGTTAGATCTGAAGGACGACCGACACTGATCTTCATGGGGAAACCATAGCGACAGAGGAAAGAGAGAGAGCAGTGAGATGAAAGGCCGAGTCCATGAAACAGAGTCAGGTCTCAAGTGGGTTTGTGAAACAACAAATGCATCTGCGACAGCCTGAGCTCTGATTGGTTCTCTATTGTTCCGACAACTCTGGAAACACAGACTGTACATGGAGCCAAGTGTCAGCTGCGGGGCATTAGGGGAGTCAGGGGGGAGATCTGAATCTGAAGATGAATCTGAATAATCAGCGGGCAGCTGTTGTGGATTAATTATGATTATTTGTTATAAAACCTGAAAACATGTTCAATGTATTTATCAGAGTTGACCTGTTGATTTTGAACACTTTGATATCTTAACAAAGTCATCACAGACCAGCGACATGTTTTGAATTCATGTTTCATGTTTAATCAAATCACCAAGACCCAACGGCGGACATTAATTGTGTTGACAGTAGTTGAAGAGCGAGCAGGAAGATCAAGAAAATTACAAACAAGTGTTCCATAAATAATGTATAGGAAACGGAGCACGACCACGACTGCTGCTGCAGGCACCTGAAGGGGCAGCACCTCACCTTAGAAAAGGACCTTCAGTCCAATCAACATGAGTTCGTGGCCCAGTCACTGTGACTCTGGTTCCATAAGGAGAAGGAACAAAAAAAAAACAGGAAAGAAACATGTCCAGGCATAGAGAGGAGTCATTTGGGAAGGCCGGCGGCTCACTCCGTTATCACTCACTTATCACTGCTGCTGCTGGAGTGTGCGGCGCCGAACGGCGGGGGAAACAGCCGTCCATTACCCAGAATACAATCAGCCGAGAACAAGGCTGGAAAGCTAATGGATGTTTCCACAGAGAGGGCAATCTCCTGAATGGGTCCATCACGGAAGATGGGATTACGTGCGATTGTTATCCCTCACAAGCGCAATATGATGGTCAAGGGGTGTAATGTATATGGACGGGAGAGACATTAAATGGTAATCTCCCCCTCAGCCCTCTCACTGCCATCAGTCTGCAGCTCAGCCCACAGTTTTTCCTTCTCCAGACATTCAGAGGTTGGACGAAGCACTCAAAGAAAACCACTCCACACCAGCACGCTCCCGAAAAAATAAATTAAATCCTTATCTGCAGTTTTCTGCGACTCAGCGGATCTGCAAACAATCGACGCAATTAAGAAAAGGCTGCACAGAAAATAAATAAAAACATTTTAAAAAATTCAGTAGTAGAAGAAGTGTTTGGGTTCCACCACAGGACAGGCCTTCGTGACCTATGACCCACGGCAGCCATTTTTAACACAAACAAGTGTTGCTGTGGACAAAAGAAATGGAGAAACAGCAACATTAAATGAAGTACAACAACCTGTCAACCAGAAGGTTTGGGGTTCGAGTCCAGCCCCCTTGGTTACCCAAAATCTCAACTCCAGGAATCACCAATAAACAAACAAACAAAAAACTTAGACAAAATGTGAAAACAAAAATCAGACTTCAGATCACTCTTCACATCCAACCCTGACAACTAAATAAAAAACTCCAAGACTGATTCTTTGACATGCTGTGTAAACATTCCAGAGTTGTTTTTTATATATATATATTTACAACAGTAAAGAGCAACCATTCCAAAGACAGTGACTGCAAGTCCACCTCTGCGCCCCCTGCAGGAGCAGCTCGTGATCTGCAGCCTCACCTCTTCAGATCACCGGCAGTGCAAACTTCTCGGAAGGTCTCAGAAGATGTGTTTAAGGTGTTTGATGCCATATGTTTGGAAAAACACAAGGAGAATTAGAGTCCACAGGCCCAGGATGAAGCCGTCGGGGGGGTGCCAGTCTCTCTGCTTTGGTTTCTGAGAGGAGAATTGGGAGTGAGATGAGGTGAGGTGAAGTGAGGTGGGGATTGGGAAGGAGGCAGAGAGGTGTGGAGGGAGGTGGAGAGAGTAGATTAGAAATAGTGTGTACTGTATATTGCTCCTCATCGCTGACTGCTGTGTCGCTCACACACACACACTTATCTCAACAAACACTTCCTCTGCCTGCTGTCAGACAAAAACACAATGGTGCACAAAGGAAGCGGGGGTTAGAGCTCATCAGTGCATCTCCGCCGTCTTCTGTTTGTCCCATTCACTGCCACGCCGTCGCTTTGTGTACCATTATACTTTTAAATCCCCCTCGTATTAAACATGCATCTCACAAGGAGTGCATTTATATGGTAATGAGGCCGCAATATTCTGCAGAGAGATGAGATTTAACCTCTGAAAAAAATAAAAAATAAAATCCTCCCAACACTACGGCTGGTGACAGAGCCATAGTCAGGTTGTGAGGACGCTCTTAAGAGATTTTCTGTTATCCCTCGCTGCACAAGCTGCCGCTTCACCGGCAGGAAATCAGCAGACGGAAAAGGCATTCCCCTCCATGCAAACTCCTGGGACTGGACAACAGACACACACGCACACACACCAAATAAATCTGAATCATCTAAATGTACACACAGTGGTAGGGAGATGTACTGCAGCCTCAGTAACAAAGTGATTTTTCATGCTTCAGTTTGCCTTCGTGCCACTACAGGACACTGTACCAGGGAGAGAAAAAAAATTAAATATAGAAATCAAATTAAGTGGCTGTACAGAGATAGAAATTTAATAACAGCAGCCCGCCCCTCCTCCTTGAGAGAGCGGCTGAAAAAAGAAGTTGGAAATAAATCCAGTATTTATGGGAATCCCTGCGCTGTTGGTTCTGTCAAACATGAGTTTCCATATCAAACAACAGCCATATGTCTGTGCATATGTCTGTGCACACCGGCCAATTCTCACTCAGCCAATGGATAAATGACTCTGGCTCTCGCCGATATTGCAGCTGACAGCATGATTAAATTTCATCAGAGGTTCGCTGTCAGGGATTTAATGAAGAACGTAGAGCTGTAGACGTTTGGTGACTAATCATTACTAGATTCAAATGTTGGTTTAATCACAGACTGATTCATTTTTAACGGTGCTCGCTGATACCAGTTCTTCAACAATACTTTCGATAAAACGTCAACAGTATTTAAGAAGGCCTACAGCTGTTGCTTTTTCACCGATTTAATAAAAAAAAGATACGCAAAACAGAAAATGAATATCGTGCGTAACGTAGAACAAACATCAGAGGGATCTGGTCTTTATTACATGAAGAACATTCTACCTTGCATTTACTCATGAAATGTAATGTAATCATTACATTATACATACAGGATCTGGTCTTTATTACATGAAGAACAATCATTACATTTATGAGACTGTAGCAGTGGAGTAGAAGTGAATGTGTAGAGACATTTCTTTCACAGCCAGTTTGTTCATCCACACTTTGTCAAACCAACATTTAATGAAATCCTCTAGAAACAAATCACATCAAAGGTTTAAGCTCTTGTTACTTTTTTTTATACGTAATCTGAAGCACTCAGCTGCAGGTGTCATGGACGTGGGCGACGATGAGCTCGACCCACTGCCCGGAGTTTGAATCACAGACGTAACTACTCATAAAGTGGCGTCAACAATTCAAGATAATCAATATTAATTCTCATGCACAGTGGGCGAAGAGGACTTGTTGTAATGTAGCGGACTAACAGCTTGTGTAAACAGCAGAGTGCGAGAGGCCGTGCGCTCACGCCTCCCTGCAAACTCTGGATGAAAAATTAAGCAACCTCCGCACAAACCCCAGAATACCTGATGATGCTGTCAGTTTCTGGTGTAGAGAGAGCGAAGACGGCGAGTCAAATCGGTTCACATCTTATTCAAATTTATTTAACAGCTGACTCCAGTTAAATCAATAGAGCCCAGTGGCTCTCCAGAATGCTAAAGCGGAGCCACTGGAGGTTCCTGCAGCACACGGGCATCGTGTTTACAAAGAGCCAGGGCTAAAGGCAGGGGGGATTTAAGCTCTATTCACACTGCAGATTATGATATGGCCGGGGTTATACATTTCATAAAAAGCCCGACGAGGACCGGGGCTGACTCAAACAGAAACGACCGGATTAATATTCAGGCAGCAGCTTTTACCACGGAGCAGTCATCAATCAATGCCAACCATCTGCCGTACAAGGAGAGCACACTGTTGTGTGGGGGCAGAAATTATAGGTTGACTCTGTGACACTTTGCCCCGATAATTATATCGTCACCGCTGAAAATATATTAGTTAAAATTATATCGTCACCGCTGAAAATATATAAAATATATTAGTTAAATGTTTTACCTAAAGAGAAGCCGTGACAGTTTCCAGACTCCTCGTCTGCAACCAGAGATGAAATTTAGAACTCTGGTTCCAGGTTGTAACTCTTCAGTCTCAGCGGAGGTCTAACAGAGCAGAGCTTCATCTCTACAGGTTACTGAGTGCATCCTAAAATTCTAGACTTGTTTTTTTTTTTTCTCTTTGATCGCTGTTAAAGCACCACTGATTTCTTTAGTGTTGTTTACTGTTTGGCTGATTTGTTCAGTTACAATGCAGCTTTCGTCCACACGGTGGCAATAACGCATCAGTCTGTTACTTAATAATTTCCGATATACAGAGAAGAAGACTGTTTTCTTCTCTACGCTAGCTGTAGCAAACAGCTCGGGGAAAATGAAGAACTTTGTGCGGACCTCCGCCACAAGACTACATTTTTTCCGTAGGTACAATTCCGACATCATCAAATCCAAGATCCAGAAGGTTAAGGACCCCTGCTGTAGGTGTCAGACCAAAACCAAACTGCAGGTGGTGTGACGGGCATCGCTCAGAGCCGACTGGATGACGGCCAGACAATGAAAGTACAAAGCGATGTTTTCATCGTCTCGTTTAAAAGGCACTTTTGTGAGAAGTGTCAGAAAGAGCAGTAAACATTTCTGTCAACAGATGCCGCTCTTTGTTTGTCTGTCAGAGGAGCAGACGTCAAAAGTGGGTGTTTAGTCCAAAAACAGATCTGTGTAAAAGCTCAGTGAATGAAAACAAAACGGAGTAAACAAAGGCGCCAGAGGTTGAGCACAGTGGCAGGTTCTAATCAAAAGAAACGATGTAGAATACTTTACTTCTTGTCAACAAACTGATGTTTGTTTTTCTGTCAGTGAAGCAGATTCATCAACCTCTGTGGAGAGTTTATTTAATGGAGACATTAATCAGTTTTTTTACTTCCACGGTGGAAAATGAGAGATTGAAAGATTCAGTGATGAAGACAAGAAATTGATTTGATGACTCATTAGTCAGGTGTTACGGTGGGTTCAGATGGAGGACAATAAAGTCAGTGATCATCTGCCATAATGAGTTCCATCATCAGTCAAAGTCGGGTACTCTCAAAATACAAACACAATCAATACAAGAGCCAGATCACAGCTCAGGTTCCACTCACAAGTCTCTCTGACAAAAATAACTCCAACACAACTACAACCACCACAGACTCCTCATCTGGGATAATAACTGGCTAACCTTATTGAAAGACAAACAAGAAGCTCCGTTCTGTTGGCTGCCACAGCCACTCACAGTTTTATTCCTCAACCCTGCAGGTATAAAGATTTCAAGGTCTGAAACTCATGGTCAATTTTTATAAGGTCCATTCTTGGAATCACCGTCCTCACATTTAAGACCAAAGAATCAACAAAATATTCTGGAAATTCTGCTATAAAAAAAAACGCCAGGAGAATTCAGACTCACACTGCTTCACTGCGTTATAAAGACAGTACCAAGAACCAGTACCTGGTACATCATTTAACAGGAACCGACTCTCCTCATGCTGCTCAAAAATCTTCCAAAATAAACTTAAACTTGTTGCAGTGATGAATAATTACCTCAAATAAAAATTAACACACAATGTTTCACAGTAAAATGCTCAGAGATAAATAAACAAATATTTATAATCCAGGAATAGATGATGCATTTTTTAAACATGTGATTACATTCAGCCAAAAAAGTGTAAAGTAAATTAAAGAAAAAATCCCCACTCCAGCAGTCTTGAACTACATCTTCTCCACAACAAACGTTTTTCTACTTTATTTACTGTCGTTTTAAATGAAGTTTTAACACGACTTCCAACAATAAAACTTCAGATAATCTGCTGTAGAGTCTGTTGTCAGAAACGCAGACTTCAGTCACTTAGCAGGACGCTCGGCTGCTCGCTGTCACATCCCAGTGCTCAGCGTGTGCTGGCGCTGTCAAACCAGTGGGGGCATTACTCTCACTCCTCAGGCATTTACTCTCCCATCAGCCCCTCTCTCTCTTTCTGCATTTCCAGGGGATATTATTAGCAATTATTGAGCAACTGAGCAGAATGTAATTGATATTTGATTAAACAGAGGGAGGCTGCTTTAGAGACGATTTGGCCTTTGATCCAAACAATCCCAATGTCTACCATGTCAGCAAGGGGAGGGAGAGGGAGGCAAGGCATTAATTTTCACAGTTTCCATTTTCATTTCCCTGGAGCCATATGGTGCAGCATCAAGCTGGCAAAAGAACAAATAACAATTTGACGTCAGTCGCTGAGGAGTGGGGGGCGGCGGCGGATGGGGGGGGGGGGCAAGACAGTTAACAAAGACAAAGGGAGCAGAGAATGGTACGAGACGGAGAGAGAAGGGAAGAAGGAGAGTGAGCTTCTGGTAATTTGCAAAAATGAACATATTGTCATTAAGCAACGTGAGGTTGGGAAGAGTATCAGGGGGAGAGGAGGGAGAGGGGGGAGAGGGGGGAGTCACCCTGTCAACAGGAGCAAGACGACAAGTGACAGGTCATTTATCAAGTCTTCACAGACGAACCTACACACATGCACAATGAGGCAGAAGTTTGTTTACTACACAGTCAGTGTAGACAGCCAGTCAGTGGAGGGCGCCACCTGCTGCATTAACAGACTGAGGGATCCACGTTTGTGTTCGTGAGGGAGAAACATATTTCTCTCAGGGGCACGGCTTAAAATCCAGTTCAAAACCACTTAACGGGACACGTTCCACCCTCTCTCTCCACGGAGATTATTGTCGTTCGTGGAAATCAAAATCAAATGTAAGTAGTTTTTTTAAAAAAAAGGGTTTACGTGTGTTTACAGTCCTGACACACGTTAAGTACCTTTATCTTTAAACGATAATGAGGCGCTGCAGGCTCCGCCCACCTCTCCTACAGAGGGAAGACCTGGGAACTGTTTCACAAAACCATGGCAACAGATGAGCAGAGAGTGAAAACAGGCAGATTCTGGCAGGTGACAGCCAATCAGGTGTCAGAAGGAGGAGAAGAAGTAATCAAGAGACAAAGAATGAGGCTGGACGTTTGTCAGTAATTACTAGTAAAGTTTGTCACTTTAACATTACTTTGATTTTTAACCCTCGCTGATTGTCTCCCTCTTGTGGTTACAGATGAGGTGACTTTTTTTTTTTGGCCATGTATTAACATAAGCAATAGACTGATCCTATTTTACCCATTGAATAGAACTGTTTAAATCTAAAATGGCAGTTTATCAAACATGAACTTTTTTTGTCAACATTTTCAAAACTAATCCTCCATCCTCTCTCCAGTGATTCACACCTTTGTAGATGAGAAAGAAGAGAAGCAGGAGGTCTGAGACAAAGAGACAGAGCTCAGAGGGAGAGGAGTTCATTCCATTTGACAGCTAATCAAAAACAGGAGAGCTGCCAATAGACTTGATGGACATTGGTCATTCTGCTGCAGTGCAGATGGACCATGGTGAGAGGACGGAGACGACTCAGTCCATCAGGACTCTCATCTTCAGCCCAGCAGGAGTGATAGCCCATAATTGAAATGTCTGGCAGAGGTCGTGGGGTTGGACCACAGTGTTTGTGTGTTGTGCGTTTGGGTGAATATTAAAAAAAAAAATTTAAAAAAAAAGTCAGAAAGGGAAGAAGGAAGGAAAGGAAAGATAAATGACTCCACCAGGAGCAGAGAGGAGGCTCAACGACGGCCGCCTGAGTGGAGAAGATTGATTTCTTCAAGAACCTGAAAATTATGGGCAGAGTTTTGGACTGTGTGAAGTTAGCAGCGGCCGACAGATTTTAAATTGGGAAATGTTGTGCCAGGCTCTTAGGCCTAGCTAATATGCTGGAGTGTGATTAGTGTGTAATTACTCAGTGAGACTCTAACAGGGCTCAGACTCATTTCTAAACGGCCGTGACTCACGTCGCCACAGTACAGTCAACGTTACAACTGGTTTCTACTGTTTTTACTGAAAGAATTTTCCACAATATTTTAGCTGCTACAACCTGAAGCGTCATCACGTCACACACCGAGACTCACCACGGCATCCTAACACGTTATTGTTACATCGTTTTTACTTGAACATTGGTAGAAACTACTGAAAGGCACCAGGAACTGAACCACATGGGGGCACTGTAGAGGCATTCCAGGATTTTCCATGTGTTTAATGACTTTTCCAGGCCAGGTAGGACTTTCTTTAATGACAGAGAAAAAGTTTAATGAACTAAAATAACAACTCATAACTGTTGCCATATCACCTCAGTATTTTATGCGTGTCATATTTGAGTGGAGAACGGCCTCAATGTAACAGATCTCTGCCTTGACCTCCACAGTTCCACAGCAGACGTTGGAGGATTCTTTAAGAAAACAATCCAAACTCTCATCTAAAAGCTCAAATAAATGGAGTCCTTTTAAAAAAATCCAAGTGAGTTTCTCTTCACAGCAGCTGAGAGTATCACTTTGTATGGAACGTCTGACCTTTCTTTGGGTAAAATCCACAAAGAATTCGGTTTCGGTTTTACTTCTTTGGCCGTGAAATTGCAAAGTTGAATTAACACTGGACGACTCCGGATCATTTCAGACACAGGGGGAGACAAAGCAAGTTTAGCACTAAACTTTTTTTTTTTTTTCAATCAAAACTTCCCTGCGGGTTGCTGCACAAATGACCTAGATACCGAGAGAGATTCAGATTGGAGCGGTTTAAATCGTTGCATTGTTTACTCAACACTTTATATTCTATAAGTAGTCACATTATCCCCATCATTATGGTATGGTACAACAGCCACACAGAAATGGCTCCATAAACATGCCACTCTTTGAAAAGACACTAAAAATGAACAGTGATGACGGCCACGTGAATGTTTGTACTGCTTTTCAGAGAGCTGGAGGTCGACGCTGAATAAGAATAAAATCCATTATTGCTGAATTATCAAAACACAGAGGCTATTTTAATAGAAAAACCTGGGGGTTTTTTGGGCGGGGGGGAAATGGTGCAGCACCTCAGCGCAGCCATTGTGAATGCAGAGCACATGTTGTTTAGGTGCAATGAGGAAAAATGGGCGTTCGTTTGTGAAGGTCGGCCCGAGTGAAAGCCACAATCTACTGCAGAATGGACTGAATGCACAATTCCACGCCACAATGCTGCCTATCCATTCTACTGGATTCCACATTAAACTTCCTGGTCACACACACACACACAAACACACACACAGATGTCGCCATGGAAACGGCAAAAAGACATCTGTTAGCGGACGTCGTACCCAACTTTCTGTTCACTCAGACTCATCGACACAGTCAGAGGACACATGTCCAAAACACAGGCATTTCATACATTATTTATAATTAGAGAAACTTTTTATAAGATTATTCAAAGAATTAAATTCATTTTTTTTGTCTTTCTGATTCAGTGTTTTCCCTAACATTTTTCAGGGGGTCATCAAATATATTTTTCGGAGAGGCCAGAATTCTGGACAGACACCTTGGGGATGGGACACTCTGAGAAAATGAAATAAAAATGTTTATTTTGGAAGCCAGTCACGGGCCGGATCGGAAGGTTTGATGGGCCGTGTTTGGCCCACGGACTGCCGGTTGATGATCACTCATCTATATTGACACACATTCACAGCTATTGCTTCAAAACTTCACTAAAATCCTTAAAAAAACCGGATGTTCTCATGTCTCTTACTGGTGATTTTTTTTTTTATAAAATTCATCATTAATATTTATGTTTTGTAAATTTTACTCCAGACTCATCTGCTCCACATTTAAGATGTAGACGGTCCTTAAATGACCCTTCTGTGTGTGTGTGTGTGTGTGCGTGTCTTACCTGATGAATGATTTCCGACACTGGCAGCTGGTCCGAGTACGAGTAGACCTCTTTCTGCAGCTCTCCATTTGCGGCACTGAAAGCAAAATAATAATAAGAAAAAAAAGAAAAAAACAGACAAAACGGCTTTTAGCATTAATCTGGAGGAAGTGAATTGAACTTTGAAAACACTGGGTTTTTGTGACGAGGGGCACCATTAGTTAGTGATGAAGAAAAGCTGTCAGGAAGAGAAACAGGCTCCATTGTCTCTGTTGGCAGTGTGTGTGTGTGTGTGTGTGTGTGTGTGTGTGACAGATCATTTGAGAGGGGGAGTCAATGATGTGCAGAGCAAATTGATGCAAATGAACCCATTTTTGCCACTCTTCCCCTGAAGCTTCCATGAAAGTCTAAATCATTTTGATAATGATAATCCTGTGAAGAACTACAGAGCTCTGAAGACTGAGATGAATGAAAAACAAAACACTTTTTCACTCTGACAACACCTAAACTGTAGAAAAAAAACAACAACACCTAAAAACCTTTTATCTTTAATGATTTCAGGAGATTCCAGGTCCCTAATGCAGCAAATTTAATTAGTTTTTGTCGACTGTGAATCAGTGAAAACGTCACCTGCTCATATGTTCATCACTGCTAAACGATCTCAGTGTTCTGTGTCGATGCTACAGAAGGAAATCTTTAGAACCTTTCTTTATGTTTTAGCTATGCTAGTGATTCCCAAAATGGGGGTCTGGACCCCTAAGGGGGCGCAGAGCAATTGAACTGGCAGGAGCAGCAAACAAAAGAACAAACTTTTCAAACACACACACAGACACACACGTAGGGAGCAGACATGACTGACAGGTTGGACTCTCAGTCATGTCTGACTGATTCCACAGCTGTCATTCAAAACCAAATTCAACATCAGTTCTTCTGACAACCAAAAACTGTTTACTCTGTGCAGCACCAGAGGCTGAAACAACATGTAGTAATAAGAATTAAGGGTTTTATTATTTTTTATTACTTTTAAAAATGTAAGGTAAGGACAAATACCTAAAGGTTTCAGGTTTACTGGAAAAACACAGCTGTGCAAGGAAGAAAAGAGAAAGAAAGAAAAGTAAAACGGCAGAAGTTGAGCCGTATATTTAACATCAACTCATTCCACAGAGCATCTGTGATCTTTTCACTGCGGGAACATCGAGCTCACAAACCGTTTTGGGGTCTCATGAAATGCTATCAATTTACTTTATGGGCAATAGTCAGATGAAGGTCTCATAAAGATCCTGCAGCTGCCATCTCCTGGTGGCTGTTTGGAACAGACCCAGACATGGTGGAGTCAGATGTGACTGCTAGGAGTTTAACAAGAAAAGATTTTGTCCTGGGTGGTTCCTGATTTAGACGGTGACCTGGTTAAAGGTCTGGGTTTTCAGACAGAGAATCAAAGGAGTGCCATCTTTGTGGAGACATTAGCTGGAGGTAAAAAAAAAACAGACTTTTTTGTGTGTAAATAATAAAATTGTATCTTCTTAGAGTGTCTACACTTGACTGGTCTGCCTGCAGTCCAGCTCTGTCTCCTGTTTAGTCAAAACTGAAGTTGATGAGATTGGAGAAAATATGTGAAAATAAGTGAACTCTGGAGAAAATATAAAAATATTAAATCACCACAAAACTGTTAAAAATTTTAAAAATTAACATAAAATCAACCAATTTAATGTTATTTTAAGGATGCTTTTGTTCTGAAACTGTGAGCCTGTATTATATGTAGTGAAAATACAGGCATTCAGACAACAGTGACCTCCAGAAGCAGCTTTAGAAATGAGTAAAAATCCAGTTAAAATGTTAATAATTAAATGCAGCTAATGGAAATAAAACCTCACACATTCAAGTTCCTGTTAAATTGAGAACTGACTTTTCCTGTGAAGGACACAACAGATACTGGGTCACATTTGTCAAGTCTGCCTGAATGGGTCTGATGCTCACCAACGTGTCACTAGTCTCCAATATATGTGAACTTTAGAAACAGTGTCTTTTTATGACTTCTGACGGCAGAGGAATCAGCTCTGCTCCACGGCTAAATTTA